ACATTCGAAATATGTGATACCAGCCACTCGCATTACAAAAGAAGATCGTCCTCCCGTTCGTGCCAGAAACTAAAGGAAATTTTCTAAAAATGTTAATCCAGATGACGTTTCTGTTTTGGCCAAATTATGAAACTTCAGTGCTCGAAACATTTTAAAATGAGCAGTAAGTTTTTTTATTCATTCGCTAGAATTTGGCAGAACTTTGACGTTTAAATATGTACATATACTTGTAATTCGTTGCATTAGTTTACTTGTATTTATGTTATTCTTTCAAAATAATTTTATAGTTTCTATTTTAAGATTTAGTTTTTTTTTTAAATATTGACGAACATGAATTATTGGCCTATAGAAACCTTGAACGAGGATTCGCTCGGCACAAGTATTTACCCATCGTGTGACAGCAACTATACAATATTCGTAGTCCCCACATTCCTTTCGTTTTCATTCGAATCTTATATTGAATTGGATTGTAGTGTGAACCTTTCTAGGCTTTTATCAAAAAACATTTTATTGGAGTGTCCCGTGAAACTTCCCTTTTTATTTTTTTTAATCAAAAGTTGATTTTCAATTACAGTATACTGCGTTCTGAGGCATGACTGTGAAACGGATATTTCATAAAAAGAACGGAAGAACGGGTTGTAGCACATATTCGACAAAATTTCAAAACTTACTTATTTTCCAATACACAGAACGCTGAAATTTCGATAGGACCTGAGGTTGAATTGGTTCCTATTTTTTATAAAAAAGAAACGAAACAAGAAACAATCCTTACAGTCAATTTCAGTATAAGCCATCGTCTTCCTTTGAAGGGAAATTGTTTTCGCTTCCGCGCGTTACTTTGTGGGGTCGAGCTCTTGTGGAAGAATTTTTTTAAATGTGCCATATTTATTTACTTGTGCTACGCAATAACCTATTCGGCTTTGTAGAAGTGTAATCAAAAGATAATTTTAAATACGTATGGATCAAGGTACATATTTTAGTCACGAGGTGTTTTTTTGCATAACATTTTCTCACCCAGGCCCAGCTGTGGTTTCGATTCAAGTTGAAATGCTCTGGAAGAGTGTTCAGAATCATTTTGTCTGAAGAACGTTTTGACGACCTAACGCTAGCCGCCATGAGAGACGCTGAAGTTTCTTGCAACAATAATATGACGGTTTGCAGATGCGTACCATATATGCGGAAACTTCTTTTGGATCTTTTTGTGACACACACGTTTTGAATATGGAGTTTATCTATTAAGAAACCTTTCCAACACCCTCATCCTTAGTGCCGTTTGTGGGCTTATGTCACGTTTGGCATTGAGCCTTATTTCCGAAATGCCTTGAAGTATAATTTGTATTCGCTCTGAAAAAGTCTTCAGGGAACGTAAATGAATTTGGTGATTGTATATATAACATTTAAGATTGCTGTATACAAAATATTGATGTCAATAAATGTCTTTCTGACGTGGACATTTTTATAGTCCTGTTTTGTGCATTTATTTACTCAAATGAAGTTCTGATAATGTTCACTTTAGCTAGCTCTTGTTGTCTGGGATGTCAACAGGATGTTCATTACCAGAATATGCCATGCCTGCCCCCTACTCCGAATATATCAAGACACATTTCCTCAGCCTAGTGTCAACGACTGTGATGGTGATGACCGAGTTGAAAAGTAATTCTCAATCAACCCTCGAATACATCTATCTATAACCCTTAAAGGGGTACTCCGGGGATTTTTTGAGCTACTTCAACTAACTATATTTTCTGTCTCCCCGGCCTTTACCCTTTCCGGTATGCTATTTAGTATCGCGAAATTCATAATAGTTATTGCGAAATCGGTAAATGAACATGATGCAAAACCAACATTCAAACATTCCATCACTTTTCAGTGCCGTGACGTCAGTGGCGGGCAGGCTTGCCAGTCGCGCGAGCAGTCTAAATAATAGAATATGCCAATCATTGGTTCCGTGCTAGAGCGCGGGTCCTGGAGCGAGCTTCAAAGCATTCATTTGACACCATGAAACTGCTTCGAATCAGTTGGAAACAAATTGTACAGTCCAAAGAGTGAACCCCTGCACTTCCACTGACGTCACTTTTTCGTTGTTGCCAGTAGAGACTTCCAGTTTGAAAAACACGGTGAGGACCAAAATTGTAAATTCAATCGGGGACCATGAAGAAATCGCCGGAGTGGCCCTTTAAGAGGAAATCTTATGAGAGCATCCCAACCTTGCCGTTGTGATGTAATCAAATAAAATAAAATAATTTCTTTGCGTCGGCAAGTACAGAATCCGGAGCCACGGACAAGAAAGTCAATCTTTGTTGGCTTGACTAAGTCCGGGCCCCGAGTGCTTAGCAGATGGTGACAGAGACGCAGAAAATAATCAGAGTAACAAATCGGCACGAGGTACAAGTGCTGTGTTTGGCGCCAAATAAGGCCGTTCTGCCGCAAGGTTAACCAGGGGCAAACCAGCAAAAGCACGGAGTGTGGCACCACTCACAGGACCGTTTACGCCCAGTGCGACAAGCAGGTTATTTACTACATACATAGTAGATCGGACAGACCGGGCGGTGTATCAACGACAGAACTCGGGAATATGCCAATAGCTTAAAGAACTTGACGGCAGCAGGTCACTTAGCCCTACATTGCAGCGACAGCAAGTTGAAGGCAAACTTAGACAAAGTTACTATCATAGGACACCATCGAAACCGGTTTGCACGTGAGGTTTTAGAAGCTTTAACCATGGAAGAGCAAGGAAACATGTGTGTTAGTTCCCCATCTGTGACCTTAACCAGAGTATGTTCTTGCGAAGTGGAAGTACTGCCCACAAGTAGACAAACGAGCAGGATGGCCTAGTTAAAAAGTGAAAGCCGTTTACAACTCCCTGTAACGCCGAATTAGAGCGCAGCTCTTGAGGAGGAGGAGGGAAGGGCACTGGGGGCAGGGTTCAAATGACCTCGTGACCTTGGGGGGTCACGTGACGTCGGAGGGGGGGCTCACGTGACCTGGAGGTCACGTGACGATGCCGATGACGTCATCAGTGACGTCACTGGTGACGTTATCAGTGACGATGACGATGCGGATACCGATGACGTCATCAGTGACGTCACTGATGACGTCATCAGTGATGATGACGATGACGATGCGGATGCCGGTGACGTCATCAGTGACGTCACCGATGGCGTCATCAGTGATGATGACGATGACAATACGGATGCCGGTGACGTCATCAGTGACGTCACTGATGACGTCAGCAGTGACGATGACGTCATCGGGGGTCACGTGACCTCAGGGGAGTCACGTGACATCGAGGGGTCACTTGACCTCAGATGAAGGGGAGTGTAGGAACCTCTGGCAGTCGTCGATGGTTACATTCAAGCAAAGTTTTATTTACATTATCTACAAGCTGCAAGCGATGTGATCTGACGTGTCGTTCCCAACCGTTCCAAGCACGAGCCTCGTCTCGCGCCCAGGCCACGCGCTCCCCCGGCCGCCAGCTCCTTGCCGCGCACTCCTCTTTAAGACGTCTCTGGCCGATTTCCTCCTCGTCTTCGATGTCCTCTTGCCAATGATGTGGCTTATTACGGACCACTTAAACGCTCCAACACACTCCCCACAGAATGGATGGAAGTCCATTCTAAACTTCCATTAACTCCAACGGATACACAAGCTGCACTGGCCTTCGCAATATGGTGCCGCGATGCACTCGGATCTCACACGACCGGATCCGAGAATCTCGGCCGGGGAACACTCTTTCCACTCGCCCGAGCTTCCATAGCAGGCGTGGTAGCGGCTCTTTTAACAGAACAATTTGACCCTCTCTGATGGGCGCAGACTGCCTGTTCTGAGTGGCGTACGCTGATCTGAGTTCTCGAAGATACTCTTCCCTCCATGTTCCCCAAAATCGGTTAAGCAGTTGTTTTCGCTGCCTCCAGAGTACGCGAAGCTCCTCCGGTGTGGAAGCGAGCGTGTCCCCACCCGTCGGCGGAAGTGTCTTCAGCCGCCTTCCAACTAGGATATTGGCCGGCGTCAGCGGGGTCCCCTCTCCGACCGCGTCGTGCACAAACGTTAATGGCCGCGAATTCAACACGGCCTCTACCTCAATCAGAACGGTGGTCAATTCCTCTGTGTCCAGACAGTTCCTTCCGATAGCCTTTCTTAAAGACACCTTTACCGAGCGCACAAGCCTCTCGTAAAATCTTCCCCACCATGGGGCTCTCTCGACAATAAACCTCCACTGGATACCCGCGTTCGCAAAGTGGTTGACTACGTCTGGGTGGCGCAACGTCTTCCACAGTTCCGTGAGTTCCTTCGACGCTCGTTTGAAGGTCAACGCATTGTCGGAATAAATTACGCGGCACAGCCCTCGGCGCGACACAAATCGACGGAAGGCAAAGAGAAAGCTCCGGGTCGACAGGTCTGGAGCCAACTTCAGGTGCACAGCCCGCGTGACTGCACACGTGAACAGCACCACGTAGGACTTGCATGTGAGGTCCTTGCCCTTGACGTAGAGGGGGCCCGCAAAGTCCGTGCCGACTACCTCGAAAGGGTCCGCTCGTGTTGTCCGGGCACCCGGCAGGGGTCCCGTGGGGGCACTCGCGGGGGTCGCGATAAAGCGCTGACAGGTCACGCAGGCACGCACCACTTTCTTCACCAGCTCTCGGCCCCGCAGAATCTAATACTGGTTACGGAGCTGCACGAGAGTATCTCTGACTCCCGCGTGCAGCAGCTGTCGGTGCGCGTCGATTGCCAGCAAGGCTGAATATCGATGCTGCTTGGGCAGGACGATCGGGTTTCGTTCGTCATACGTCATGCTGACGGACTGCAGGCGAATTCGAATGCGAAGTACTCCACGCTGATCGATGAATGTGGCGAAGTCTTGGAGCGGTGAACCAGGCGGGGTCTTCGTAGAGTTGGTCGCGCGGCGAAGCTCGGTGGCGAACGCCGAGCGCTGCGCCTCCTTCATCCAGTGAGTTCGCGCTGCCTCGATCTCCTCGGCTGTCAGTGGTCCCGTTCGTCTTTCAGTTGACCTGACGTTGTGGAGAAATCGAAAAATCCAAGCCGTTGTTCTGATGATCCTTGAAGCAGAGCTGAATCGCGAGATATCGATCAACTCTGGAATGGGCGTTACTGTGACTTCAAACGCTTCTGCTCTCGATCCTCTCTCCTCGAGGGCGTCTCGAGGGAGTTCTCCGCACCTTTCCTTGGGCCATTCTGTCGCTGGCAGTGGCAACCAACTCGGCCCCGACCACCACAGTGAACTGGAGACCAACTGGAATGCGGTCAGACCTCGTGTCATGAGGTCAGCGGGATTTTCTTTTCCCGGGCAGTGGTGCCACGTCGCGCCTTCACAATTTCTCTGGATCTCTTGCACTCGATTCTTGACGAACAGCTTCCATCGGGAGGCCTCTCCCCTGATCCAGTAAAGCGTGATCATTGAATCCGTCCTGAAGTGAACGTCCTTCACCTCAAGCTCAAGACAGGTTTGAACGTATTTGGACAGCCTTGAGGCGATCAAGCTGGCCATCAATTCCAATCTCGCCAGTGTGACAGTCTTGAGGGGCGCAACTCGGCCTTTTGCGAGCAATAACGTCGTCGTCGTCGCTCCTGTGTCGTCGGTAGTGCGAAGGTAGACCATGGCTCCGTAGGCAGCGGTGCTGGCGTCGGCGAAGATATGCAATGATCGGTGGGTCACCTTGCCTTGCAATCCGTCGTCGCAAAACCTTGGGATCTTGACCCTTTCTAGCTCGACAAGTTCGCTGCACCACCCGGTCCACTCGTCTTGCAGGTGATCTGGTAGCACATCGTCCCAGTCCAGGTTTAGTTTCCAGATTTCCTGGAACAAGATCTTGGCTCTCACGACGAAGGGTGCCAAGAATCCCAGAGGGTCGTAAAGGCGAGCTGTCGTTTGCAACACGAAGCGCTTCGTATTTTCTTGGTGGCGAGCAGTCGCCATCACGTGCTCCGGCGAAAACATGAGACTGTCCTCTTTGGGTTCCCAAGTCACTCCGAGCACCTTGAGCACGTTCGCGACTTGTCCGAGTGGTTTTTGGCCTGCGCCGTCCTCCTCGAACACCTCCGCTAGTGATGCGCTATTTGAACCCCACTTGTGGAGTCTCATACCGGCCTGCCTAAACACCTCGTTCGCCTCGGCGTACAACTTCGTTTACCCCTGTCAGACGGGCTAGTTCAGTGTCACTACAAGCGAGTGCACTTCGCCCTTAGTGCCATTTCTGTAGTGTGCCACACGGCTCCTTCCTGAGGAACACACTTCGCTTGGAGTGAGTTCGACGAACTCACTTCGCTCGATCGAGCGCGTGGAATCAGTAGGAGTGTTTCAACAGTAAAACATAACAACACAGAAACCAAAAGCGTGGCGTAAGTTTTATTTTATTAAGAAAAAGAAATTAGTGAAAGCGACATGTAAAAGAGTGACATTGCAAAAACAAAATAGAGGGGTGGACTTGGAGTTTAGGCTGATCTGAATCAAGATTAGCGGAGCGCTGAATTGATAAAAGACGACGACAACGTCAGTCATTCATGGCTGTCTTGGTTAGCAGAGAATGATAGAGTCTGCTTTCGTTTCGTCATGTAATTATTCGAGACAACACGATAATTAGGATCTGATTAGGCAGTGTCAGGGCCTCCTCGTAGACTTCCGTGGAACGAAGTGGAACGCCAAAGTTGGATATGCTTCGTTCTTTATATTGGCTTGCGATGATCGATCAGAATCATCCAATTGGCGTAAAAATCGTTCATTAATGCAACGTTGTTTGAGAGCACAGCTCCTAGGCACCCCTTCCTGAATTAAGCGGCGTCGGCGTAACCGCGCGTTGCATTAAGGGCTGTTTCCCAAAACGACGTCACACGTGACGTCACGCGCGTCGTCACGTGTGACGTCACGAGGGTAAAATTTTTCCGCTAAAATTTGCGGTAAAAGTTTTTGCTTAGTTTGGCGGAAAATTTTTCCGCTAAATTTAGAGGAAACATTTTACCCGTGTGACGTCACGTGACGTCACACTTAAAATTTCAGATGACGTGTCATGTGATGTCACACGTCAATTCAGTGGGAAAATTTCCCCAATAAATTTAGCGGGAAATTTAGCGAAATTTTTACGCTAAGTGGGATGGGAACAGGAGAGGAGGATGGGAGGGTACGGAGGGGTAGCAGCTGGCATACCCTCCCCGTCGTACCCTTCCTCGCTCCTCTTCAAGAGCTTCACTCCAATTCGGCATTTCAGAGAATTGTAAACGTCAATTTTTTTAACGTGTCTTTGTTAAGGGGTATCGAAGCCGAGTGGGCTAGCTCCCACCTGATCGGAGTACGTGGAGAGAAAGCTCGCGCTGGAGAAGGAGAACCCAGTGATCCTGAGCTCAATCCCCAGCCCTGCCCGATGAACACACTTCCAATGAAGTGAGTTCGGGGAGCACACTACGCTCGCTCCGGTAGACCAAGTGTGTAATCTCGATAGCAGTGTTCAATGAGTTAAAATAATAGAAGAAATTAACGCTGCGGTAAAATTAGTATTATTTTGATAGGACTAATATTAGATGCGCACTTGTTTTCTGTTGGCAGGAAAGTAGTGCATTGTAGAAAAACAAGCGGCTAATCTAGTTTCCAGCCTTGGCCCCTGCGCGACGGCCGACGAAGTCCAGGAGGCACCTGCACGACTCCACCAGGAATCTGAAGGTGGCAGGAGAGACGCGAAAGGCTTTCTTGAAGTAGAACTCGCCCAAATGGGGCAAGGTGCCTTCGAACCACCGTTCGTTCCTCTGGAAAGTCCACCGTTGTCGACTGATCACGGGTAGGTTGTCGGTCATGAGAGTGGCTATGGTGAAGGCATTGGCCTGCAGCTGCTGATCGATGTCACTTGAAATTCTTGCCTGTGCGTCGGCATCAAGGTCCAGCTACCTCTTATTTGAAAGCCGTTGGGCTCTCACAGAGAAAAGTGCCCCAAACATGCGCTTCCACTCTCCAACATTGCGGATATTGCCCTCCAGCTCGTCCTCCACACACTCCATGATGTTTCATTGTGGCGAGTGGCGAGTGGCCGAGTGGGCTCGCGCACACCAGCTCGGAGCACGCGGAGCGAAGGCTCGCGCTGTAGAACCCAGGAATCCTGGGTTCAATCCCTACTTCTGCTCGTTTCGATCTGTACTCCGTTTCACCTTATGTTGTACCGCAGACAAGGCTAGACGCGCGAGCTCATAGCGTTGGGAGCTACTCTTAACGCACGAGAGCTTGTGCCGCCTTGATATGCCCTAGAGCAAGGAGCTCGCGCTTGCAGCCTTTTCTGCGGTACATCATAAGTTGAAACAGAGTATCGTACCGGCGTGCGGACGTGTATCACTGGCTTGTAATGGCTGATCGTAATGATGAAATTGGATTTAAATTTGGATTAAAGCTTGTGACTTAGCGCAACAATGAGTGATAACGTGTTTCTAATAAGACGACGAAGTTACTTATGAAAAAATGCGTATGCACTGTAATATGTTGCGTGCCCATTACTTACCCATCGTTATTGCCATCATTTTGGAGTGACACTAAGTTCTCCCGTGTAGCACCAACACACTTGGAGTGTGTTTCGATGGGTTGAAGTGCACTCGCTTGTAGTGACACTAAACTAGCCCGTCTGACAGGGGTATTAGCCTCGTCTTCGTTGCTCGCTCCGGTCAACAGATCATCAACATACACGGACTTGCTTAATTGTTCGGCCGTTGTTGGGTATGTGTTCTCCATCGCCGCGAAATGGTGCCGCAGGGTAGCCGCCAAAAGGAACGGGCTCGACGTTGCACCGAAAGTCACCCTCGTCATTCGCCAGGTCTCTACCTCTGGTACCGGTTGATTTTGGAATCGGCGGTTCCTTGTACCAGAGGAACCGCAGTGCGTCACGATCCTCAGCCTTGACTCCGATCTGCAGGAAAGCCTTCTCCATATCCGCCACTAACGCTACTCGGTGCGTCCTAAACCTCAGAAGTAGGGCGACGAGATCTGGACACATGTTCGGTCCACTCTCCAAGTTTTCGTTCAGGGATTTACAGTTTGCGCCGTGAGAGGAAGCGTCAAGCACAATCCTAAGTTTGGTGGTGCTGCTGTTCTCGCGGAGAATAGCCTGGTGGGGCATGTAATACACCCTTGCTGCACCTTCGTTTTGTGTTTCTTCATCGACCCTCTCCGCCATGTCGTTGACTTGGTATTGCCGAATCGCTTCGTCATACTTCTGTAGGAGATCGGGATTTTTGGTCAACTTATTACGTAGATTCTCCAACCTCCTTCTTGCCACCTCCATGTTGTCTGCCAGCCTTACGTCCGATTTCCATGGAAGGCCCACTTCGTATCTACCGGCGGTTTTCGTAATGTTGGCTTCGAACTCTCGTCTCACGGCGCTGTCCGAGGGATCCTCTACTGGCGGGTCGGTAACTCCCCACGCTTTCTAGCTCCCAGAAATGTCGGAGAACCGATGTGGCTTCTAGATCCTGCAGCGTTGCTATTAGCACGGTCGCCTGGGAGCAACTCACGATGGTCGATTCCGAGCCTGTCCGTCCCTGGACCGCCCAACCGAATGCAGTTTCTACTGCAGTCAAACATCCGCTAAGTCTATGAATTCTTCCTGTGATGCACCGCCAGTAGTGGTCTGATCCCAGCAGTATGTCGACGCCGCGTTGTTCCAGTCCGGTCATGTTGTCTCCCACGGGACAGCCAAGTTCCTCTAATGTTGCCACGATGGCTTCATCTGGGCTCGGAAGGTCCTGCTCACATATGGTAGGTGTCTCGAGAGCGTCGATGTCATATCTTTTGTTGTAGTGTTGGTCTCGCAAAGTTACTTGAACCCTGCGAAACGTACGTTCAGTGCTTTCGCCCCCGAACACGCCTATTGTGAGGATCTCTGTCCCGAGGAATTTGCAGTCCAGTCGCTGAGACAGTTCTTCAGTTATGAAGGAGCGCTGACTGCCGCTGTCGAAGATAATACGGGCAAGCTTCCTTCTCTTTGTACCTTCTGCCCACGCAGTAACCGTTTGTAGGAGCACTGCCGGCTTGCTGTTCCTACCACGCACACGCATAGCGACCGGTGGTGCCGGTTCCTTCGGTTCTGTCTCATTCGATCTGGTGGACGTTTTTCCCGGCGCGTAATTCGGGTCGCACATAGTGGACGCGTGCCTGCTTTGACATTTGCCACAGCTGGGTGCTCCTCGACATAATCTTGCCATGTGATTGGCCTTCGTGCAGCGGAAGCACCTCCGGTCTGCTTGCAACCTACGCTTCTTCTCCGCTAGCCCGATTCTTGCGTTACATTCCGGTGTTCCGTGCGCTTTTGACTTGCAAAGGAAGCACTCTAAGACGTCCACACTGCCGTGCAATGCCGCCGCGGTGGAACTGCGAGTCTGAGTGTTGATCGTTGACCTCTTCACAGAGCCATGCGTCAGAGAAGAAGGTCTGGGCTTACCGACGGCGTCTTCCAGCTGGTGTTTTGATGTCCTTTCGCGGCTCTCCACCTCGATGCGTAGAAAGTCGAGGAAAAACTGCAGAGCCCTCAGGTGTACTTGCTGTGGGGCGGATTCCAAACTGGCGTCTGTCATTGATGCCCTTGCGGCGTTGGCATTCCCGGTCTCCTCCGCCGACATCTTCCGGTTGAAATCGAGAGTGATATCTCTCGGTAGCACTCGCAAAAGAACTGTGTAGAGCATAGCTCCATACGCCTCTTCGCCCACCCCTAACGCTCTAAGGCCTCTGATGTGCGCCTGTAGAGTGTCGTATAAACGCCGTAGGGCTCGGGTGTTCCGTTGTGGTGGCACTGGCTGTATGTCCATGCGACCTTCCATGTGGTCCTGGATAAGCGTCTCTTGCTTCCCGAACCGCTGCTGCAGGAGCTCGATGGCGTCCGCCTAACACTTAGCGGTCGGCTGCAATCCACCGATGGCGGCTGCTCCATCGCCGGTCAGCGCTGATCGCAGATAGTTGAACTTTTCTGACGGCGTGAGTTCCGGATTTGGATGAATGGCGGTATCGAATTGCTGCCAGGAGGGTTGCCAGTCCTTTAGGTGCCCGTTGAATTGGATTAGTTTCAATTTTGGGAGTTTGATTTTTGATGTCACCGAGGATCCTCCGTTCCGATCTCCGCT